CGCATCTTTGGTTTAATTTGGTGGAACGGCAACGACCTCGTCGGCAGGAACGGAATCACGCCCAATGATTCTACGTGGCGCTATGAGGCTGCAAATCCCGACAGACTCGGTACGCAGGCGCGCATCCTTGGCAACGTTAAACTGTTAGCCGAATGCAAGGAGATCTCCGACGAGCTCTGCTGTATATGTGGAATATCTTCTTATCTTTTTGAGTTGCCTTCGTTTGTCGATATTTTCTGGGCAGAAATCAACGACATCATTGAGAGTCTCGGCATACACCGATTCCAGCCTGACAATCTGGTTTACCAATCCGATAAAGTTGATCAATGGCATATGCGAAAGACGCAGGAGAACATCGATCGCTTCGTGAACTATGTGACCTCGATTGTCAAATTGTCGTACCATGTCAACGTCGTTGAAGCTTCCCGAGAGGGAATTGCCGCGCTCAACAGGGTGAGAAGATTTAAATACAGTTGGGATTCCTCAGCGACAGTCAAGATACCGGAATCGTATTTACAACTTATCAATGAATTTGTTGAACAGCGAAACGCGCGAATGCAACAGACGTTGGGGAAGAGCAGGCAGTTTACTGTCGAGGAAGTACAAGCGTACAGCCCCTTTGAGACGAATGACGTGTCACTCGAAGAGCTCAAGGCCTCCGTTAATCTGGAAGGCGAAGATCCTCAAGATGTGTTGCAGTTTATCAATGTTGTACCTGTTATTGAGCTACCGGAGGAACAGCCCGCAGTGGACGAGCCGATGGATGACGTTGCGACAGCCGACGTAAAAGTCGAGCCGAAGGTTGAGGAAACCGACGCGGACGTTGAGATGCCCGATAGCTATACAGGCGCAACCGACGAAGTACCTGGGCCTGATACTGGTATCGCAGGCGTAAATGCCTTGCCGACAGCACCAGAACCTGATCCACAGATGGCGAAGATCGAGGCCGAGGTTCTTGATGTTTTGGCTGATGATGAAACGACTGTTGAAGAAGGTGCAACCGGAGATGTTCCTATGATCCCTACGGACGCGGACCAACCCGCAGAGGGTCAAGCGTCTTCATCTGACCCGAGACCACCATTGCCGCGATTGCGAGGCAAAGGGCAGGGACAAGGCACACCTTCGGCCGCTCCCGTAACGGGGAGCTTTCTTGCACCTGAGAACAACGACAACCCCGACTTGAAATTTTCTGGAAAAGGGAAGGGCGTTCTCGTTCGCGAGACGAAGCCTAACCCCGAGTACAAAAATATGCAGGTCGAGGTTGAAGAGGTTCTCGGAAGGTATCCTTACCCGGATCACCTACTCAAGGCCATCGGGAATGGCAACATCCAACTCCTCGAGGATGAGCTGGGCCGCGACGCCAAGCAGTACGTGCTGTACCACGTTACTGGCCATAGGTACTATTATGTATATGAGGATTATCATCATGGGCCTTGGGAGTGGTGCTGCTCCTGGCCACCTCATGTTCGTCGCGGTATTTCTGGTCTTCTTCGTGGACACGTCCCAGACGTCAGTATTTATGATCCGGCGTGTTATTTGCCAATTTACAAACTACTAGATTTGGCGAAGGCCAAATTCCCTGATTATGCTGGTTCTATGAATGTTTTTGAGTTGATTTCGATGGCTATTTATGACCACAAAGATCGTTTCGAATTTCAATGCGTGTACGACTCTCGTGTGAACGAGCAGCTCGAACTTTTCGCCGCCCCCGTCAAGATCCGATGTGGACAAGGCCACACTGACGACGTTCTCGAGACGCGATCAAATGAAGTGCTAGCAGTACTAATCTACTGCCGTCCTGATCATGTACACAGGTACAATGCTCGTTTGACAGCGCACGGGAATTGCGATATACCACCTCGGCTTTACCACCGAACGCATGAAGGTGCTGCGCGATCCATTATTGCGAGCGGGCTCATTCCCGGCGGTGGAGCCGGTGGACCGAAAAGCAAAGGCAATTCCTTCTTTTCAACACAACCTCTGGGAAACCAGAAGGCGATATCTGGTGTTCGTGCTGACCGACCAGTGGAGATTTGTTTTTCAACACCGGATGTGATTGAAGCAGGAGTTGATCTTTTCCTCACAAATTCTGGCGCGGTGATTACCAGCCATCACGTTCCGAATACGTGTATTCTATTTGCAACTCGAGCCCGCGCAAATGCGGAGCCAGAAGTTTTCTATTCGAGGCCGCAGGCATTGGATCCTTCGAACATTGAGATCGGTGTTCCGCAAGATGATGTGACATTGGTCCCGGGAAAAGTGTCGGAAGTACGCACCATTTTGGAAGGTACAAGCGACGCCACTCCCGAAGAACGCACAGCTAGCAGCAGTGCCGCAAAGACGGAAGAGATGGAGGCAAATCGCAATACAGCTGTACCACAGATCGAGAGTGGATATTTTCTACATCTTCGAACTTTCAGCTGCGATAAATGTACGACACTTTCCTTAGCAGGAATGGCATCTTGTCATCGATGCGGAGTAGTATTTCAGAGCAATACAACAGATGGACCGATTTCAAAGTTTATGCGACTTCAGATGAGGCGTGCAAAGGTGCTACAAGAGCAGGGGGGCGTGCCCAAGAACATGACCGCAACAAGCATGCTTGACAGCATTGCCGCGCAGGACCTACAGTCTGGACGACCTCCAGCTCGTGGTAGCCCGTCAGTTGACAGTCAGATTATTCTTGCAGCTCGCGGCCGCCTTCGCAAAGCATTGAAATCAGGGTATGAGAATGTATTCGATCGATTCAACCGCGACGACGTCTTCGCTACCTCCTTAACCGGAGAAGGATGCACAGCGTTTGATGCAGCGCAAGAAGACTTGTTTGCGTCACTGCAATTACCGGCACCCACGAGATCAGCGAAGCAGAGATCAAAAGGGAAGTCGGTTGTCAGTGATTTGGATCGACTGGACAGGGTTGACCTCGCCAAGCTCGCGTATATTCGATGCGGTGTTGACAACCTACATACCTGTTTCAAGCAAGGCGTCGACGAGAACTTTCTGATCAGTTATCGCCGAGAGTTTATGTCACTCCGACAATACGCCGCCGTAATTGGCGATAGCCGAGATGAGATCAAGATCCAGGGCTTTATCCCCACGACGGACGTCTATGGCGATATTCATTCAATTCGTATTCCTCGTGGAGACACGACAGGCATTTACAAGATTTTGAGTGAGTTTGCAGAGCAGAATGAAAATTATGCAAACATTCAATATCAGAGAAACGCGCAACAGTCTGCAAGTGTGCAGGGACGCGATCGTGGACAGCCAGTTTCACAGATGGGCTTCATGAACATCGAACAGCGCATGACCACGCCTTATCCCAAGTTTGCCGATTGTGGCCAGGACATGTCGTCTGACGAGATTCGACGGCTTGAAGAGATCTTGCTTGAGTTTGGACAGCGTGGAGCACCATCTCCTCAAGGACCTGTAACAAGGCCCCCGTTGACGCGGAAGCGATCGCAGATGTACATGGAGACTATTGGAGATGCAGACAAACGACCGAGGCTGCAGTGGAGGAGGAAAGAAGACCGAGATCAATCTGGTCGTATTGCAACTTGGGTTGACAACCGGACTCCACCGCCAGGCGTGCCTCAGCCGCCAGCTCCCGTAACAGGGACGCATACCTCGTCGGTATTCCGTATGAATGCACCTCCTGCTCAAGGACAAGTTTCAGGAAAGGGTGACTCCTCTAAACAGGATGTCGGTGAACGGAGAGATGTTTCTGGAAAGGGCAAAGGCCAAGGCAGCTCTTCGGCAGCAGGCTTAGCCGCTCCCGCAAAAGGGACGCCGCGTGGTTCTGTCGCCCGAGCAATTTCCCAGAGCCGTGTCCTTCCACCTAAACGTGGCAACATCCCCAAGGACCTCTTGGGTCCCCCAACTTCACCGCCACCGTTACCTGCACCCAACAACCCACCTGCAACTGGCCTTTCACCAATCTCCAAGCCACGTCCAGCCAAACCTTCACCTCCGAAGGTCCCACCACCAAAGGTGCCTCCTCCAAAGGTTCCTCCACCGAAAGTGCCACCCAATACAGCCAGTGGCATTCCGGTACATACAAGGCCGACAGATTTCAATCTCACGCCGAAGCCGCCGCCGCTTACAGACCTTTACAGTCGGTTGCAACCTTCCGTAAAAGGAAAGGGCAAGGATAAGCAGCAGGTGAGTGTTCGAGGAGGACCTTATGCTCCACAGCAATGGAATGTACAAAACTTGCCACCGCCGCCATTGCCACCCGGAACTTCATCCGCTTCGGCATCATCGTCGCATAATGCACCCTTAACTGGGCCGCCGACTTCCCGCATTCGTGGAACTATTGATCGACCATTGGAACCCTTTGATTTTCCTGGAGTACAATGGCAACGCGATGACCCATGGGGCGAGAACTATTGGCCCAATCACATGGAATTGTGGGAGTGGTTGAGGCAGGGATGGCATGACGAGACGGAGCGTTTTGGAATACAATTTCTTTAAGCAGATGTTGAATAGCTACCATAAATGGTATGCCTTGCAGCTTATGAGTGTTGAGATAAAGATCACCTTCTGACGCGCTGTGAGATGATGTTTCACTTCATTGTCTCACTTCCCAATGCATCCATAACAGGATTGCCATAGTCGGAGAGTGAACTTTTAATCAATGCTTAACACTAACCTGGGCCTAGCATGTTTAACCACATGCCGAGTGAGGCGAAAACTGTACATTAGGGTAGCTACGTTCTCCTTGTATAGTGCATGCACGAGCTTGATGAGGGATTTCTAATATGATTCCTTCGTCGCTAGAATTTGATCCTCCCCGAGATTTTTCCCTACGGGTAGCTCCTTGTAAAGGGGGGTGTTGAAATTCACCTCATCCCCATGGACCCCGTAGCGTTGACTCTCAAGGTAGAGCAAAAGGTAGCGCTTACCGGGCTAGCAGGGTTAGCTAGGTAGTTAGTACTATTAGAGCTGATCCTGTAAAATACAGTAGGGCTTGATAGATCCAAACTCCAAGAGCTGAAGAGGCCTTTCCTTCAGCTTGAGTACCTCCACACGTGGCGTCCAGGTGGGGCGCGGCTGGTGTGGTTGGGGTGGATGAAAGGGAGTGGAACCATGCAGGGCCCTGGGACCATATACAAATAGTATTGTATTGTATATAGTCTCGCTTTCGGTGACCCGAACGGGAATTTCCACAACTTCTGTGGTCCCAAACATAGTCTTGGACTTCTAGGCAACATAGAACTCACTGACATCCCAAGAACGCACAAGAACATGGTGCATCATTTGTTAATACACACAAACCAACCAACCGACCGACCGACCAACCAAACAAACAACCAAGCAAGCAAGCAAGCAAGCAAGCAAACAACCAACGAACCAAGAAACAAACAAACAATCAAACAACCAACCAACAAATTGCTGTTTGCCACACGCCAGCCTAAGTGAAAACCTAAGGAACCAGGGTGAGTAAAATGTAACGCTTCCCAAAAGCCTCCCAAAGCTCCAAAGACCATCAAGGTTCAAAGTTCAAGGCCAAGACTCAAAATCAAAAGCAAAGTGCGTGACAGCCGATGGTGAACCGAAGAAAAGGCTGGTCAGCTTGTTCTAGTTACAACGGGCCCCAAAAGGAAATGAACGTTGATCACTGCAGGTAGACAATGTGGCGTCCCACATTGCTTCACCACGAGCTGACAGCGTTTTCGTTGGGCAGTGTCTGTCAGTCGTGCACTGCTCCCCTGCTAATCAAGAAACAAATTCAAAGGAATCCCTGTGACTCCAAGGGTTTCACACACACATGCACACTCAAGGCAACACAAACCAACCCTAATCAACCCGAACCAACCCAACCCAAGCAAACCAACGAACCAGCCAGCCAGCCAGCCACCCAACCAACCAACCACATTGATGTGTGGGGTTTTTGTTTTTAGTGCTGTATCCGCTCGGTCTTCCACCAACCACCAACCACCAACCACCAACCACCAACCACCAGTGCTCTGCAAGGGGTCGGATGTACGCCCTGGCGTCGCTGGGTCTGCGCCGCTCTGCGGGTCGGGTGTGATTTGCGTGGCATTCGAGGGGCCCGACGCCGCTTCCTGGACGGCCCAAACCCACAAGGCCTCTTCAACAAGGCCTGCGCCTTCAAGAACCGCTGGGGCCGGCCCAAACCCACTGCCGGGAAGCCACCGCCAGAGGGCGTTCCGCCCCAGAAAATTAGGAAGGCTGCAAGGCCGGAGAATCCATGGGCCATGGGCTATCAAGTTCACTCAAGCGCGCTGCCATGGCTTCAGGAGGGCACAGCGTCGGCAACGGCTTCAACACAACAGCCTCTGAAGCGCAAAGCTCCCACCGCAGCTCCGCCATGTCCAAAAGCCACACTCCCCCCTCGGAGAGCAAGGAGCCCCGGGAAACATCATCGCACGCCCAGTCCATGCAAGGTGTGCCACACTTCGTACTTCGAAGTGGATTGGGGCGATGATGAAAATGATGATGATAAAGATGATGACAGGACTGCAGAAGAAAAGGCTGAGGACAACCAACTTCTTGAAGGAAACTCGCAAGAATGTATGAATGCAACGCCAGAGGTCCAGAAGCGGCTCAGAACCAATGCCTGGAAAAGATGCTGCCAGAAGTTAGAGGTGCTTCGCGTCGAAGCCAAGCTTCTGCAAAAGGGGGGGAAGAGCTTCGCAGACTTGCCACGCGCATGGTCAGAGGCTGCCCCAGCACGAGTCCTGCGTCCAGGCTTCCTTGAAGAAAGGAGCAAGGACCGACAATGGAAGCGACAGTGGAAGGTCGAGCAGCGAGGAGAACAACCCGACTGCTCCCGGAGCCAACCACCGCCATGGGACTGTGAGCGATCCGCTCCAGATAGGTCACAGCCCGCTACAGTGCCACAAGATGACGAAGCTGTGAGTCTGTGAGTGGACCAGTTCTGGACGTCAACACAACGACGATCCGCTGTGGTCGTCGTCAAGGTCATGGCAGCACAGCCAACAAGACTCATGGTGGGCCTGGCGGAATGATCGGTGGTCCACCGAAAATTGGCGGTAAGACTGCTTCAAGCTCGGAGAAAAAAGGAGTGGGCGATAAGACTGCTTCAAGCAAGCGCGCACCCCCCCAAAAAAAAACAAACAATATGGTTTTTAGTTTTTTTCGGAGCTACCTCTCCTGTATGGGGGGACATGCCTGCGAAGACTGGCATAGGACCCCTGAATCAGTTGCACAATTCCCCCAACCGACAAAACACGGGTCGCGTGCGCTCCGCACTTTTTGTGTAGCTTGCGCTAGCTAACTCAGTGTAGTCGCTTAGGGCTAAAACAATCCATGTTGAGGATCAGAACTTTCACGGGACATCTCTTTGTCTCACCCGATCAACACGAACCTGAAGAATCATTTTCCCTCCGGCTCCTTTTTGGTTTGGAAATCCCTTTAGTCCTTGATTCTCCCCCTCCCCAAAAACCGTTGGCGCTCCTAACCCCGGAGCTCCCCCAGAATACCCTCCCCCCGTTCCTCACCCCGTTCCCTCTGCCACGCTCTGCCAGTTGTTCTTCGGCGGCTTCGACGACCGCCTCGAGGACTTCGCCGCCGCGGCGCTGCGCGCGGCGCTGGGCGTGGAGGCGGCGCAGCAGCGGCGGAGCAGCCCGGACGCGGAGGAAGCGGAGAAATCGAAGCGAGTGAGGGGGTGAGTGAAGGGGGTGAAAGTCGAGATGGGAGATGGGATGAATTGGGGAAAAGAGATTTTGGGTCGTGACCCAACTAGAGAATTTGGTTGGATCTTGGGAACCCAAAAATCGGTTGTTATCCTAGACCTTTGGTTTTGGGATCAGCAATGCAGAACATCGTTTACACCACAAGCATTGGATCTCCCTTGGGCAATGGCACGAGGACACCGACTGGTCACGACCTACCGCCGTGTCGGTCGGAAACGCGAACCAGGCAGACCTTGGTGGGTCACGACCCATCCTCAATTCATTCCAGGTGGACCTGGAGGTCTCCAGGTCTCCATCATTCGGATCAGCTTGTCTCCGAGCCATCTCCAATTGTATGAGATCAAAATTCCATTCGCTAGACATTGAAGTTCCCAGTCTATACTGCAATTGATTCAAGAGTTTGTCCCGTTAACATCCAAAAGCATGGCCATGTGGCCCAGGTGCCCACCACTCTTGAAAATGGATCACATCTTCGAAAACAGCACTCCGCTACAGTTCTCCGGTTCTATTTTCACCATTTCTCGGTCACCTGAGGAGTTTCAACCCCCATCCCCTCCAAGGCTTTGAGGCGCAGCTTGACCGGCTGCGACGGGACTTGGCACCTTGGAGAAAGCGGCGGCTGTGGGGAAAGAGAGGAGCTGAAGCTTCAGCAGTGTCGGATCTGGTCGGATCCAAAGCAATGGTGTTGATCTCAGAGGTCACAGGTAGGTGCGGATCTGGTAAGATCTGATATCTGGTGTGCATGATGCTGATATCACCAGTGCTTTGCTTGGGGATGAAGGCTGTCCATTAGGGAGTCTCATTGTTGTAATAGCGAGGTGGGGTCTGGTGTGTGCTGGGCCAGTAAACTGGTCTGGAGCCGTCGGGAAAAACGAGGGATCGCTCTTTGGGGGAAGGGTCTGTAGCCTAACGAACATGAACATCCACAGGGATATACTGACATGGCAGTGGGTCACAACCATGGTAGGTTCACCTCCTTAGTCGTCTATCCTGTGAACATTTCCATGGTCCACTGGAGTTGATCAGTTTTGACCCAGCCATATAATATACCTAAACCATCCCGGCATCTGAACAGGAGAGGGTTCGGGAGTTCAAGGTTCAGCATGACCCCACAGAATGGTTCTAGTTTTAAAAAAGGTGCCACTTGTGCCAAGATCCAAGATGCAGATATCTGCCGCAGTCCAGAATGGCAGGAAAACCGCCCGAAAACGGCCAGTTTTTCAGTAAAACCCGCACCTTCGTCGCCGGTGGGATGGGCTGTGCCGGTCTGTTTCGTTGGTTCTTCGCTTTCGAAAGCGAGGGCTCGCAGGGTCGAGTGGGCCAGTGCTAATTCGGACCAGAGCTATCATGTCTTTACCTTGTGCTATCACAAGGCCTTGAGCTCTTGTTGTGCTGCTCTTGTGCTCTTGCTCTGGTGCCTGCTCTTGTGGGTGCTGAGACATGTGCGACACATGGGCCTATGGGATGGGCCTACGAAGCATGGGCCCGGCTTCAGTCTGACTGAGACTACAGGTTCCACCAGTTTTTCTGACACCTTCTTGGGATGAATGGGAGGAGACCTTTCACTCAATGAAAGCTACTGAGTTCTTTCAGTGCAGCGATCAGTCACTGCCCCGGCCCTAGGAGTCCTTTGCCAGCCAACCACCGATCAGTCAAGCAGCCTACTGGTCAGGCAGCGTGGGGTTGTGACCCTTGACTTGAGTCGATCCAGCGAGAAAACCATCCAAAAAAGCACCGTTGACTGAGAAGATGAGCATCGGACTGGGGGGATTTTCGTTCTTTTTTTTTTAAACAAAAGGGAGTGGCGCGAGTGGCAAACTTCCATTCACATTCGGGCGCAGGGTTTAGGTGTATCAGAACCAATTTCCTTTGGGCGTGTGTATATCCCATATTTGTCCCAAATACATCTACATCAGATGTGAGACGTCTCCAATTGATCCTCCTGAAGTCTTTGGCCCGCTCTGCTTGGTGGTTGGATGTCACCTACCCGGATGCTAGGAGGGTATCGTAAGGGTCAATTTAGGAAGGGTACCTTTAGGTACCCAAAACGAAGACCTATCCTCTTAGGAAGGTCCATGAGTCCATAACGGGTTATTAGGGTAGGTCTCATTCTTGAACTGTGCCGCACAGATCCTCCGCTTTTCTGTACCGTACAGATCCGCCGCTTCTATCGTCTTTAGCACAGGAAGAAATACACTCCCTGAAGTAACCATGGAAGTGGAGTTCACCACCTGTTTTATAGAGTCAAAGGATCATTGGGGCCATGCCATCCACTTTCATGATTCTTTCACGGAGTGTACAATGGTTTCCAAGGTTAGTGAATCCAATGGTTTCCGACTTTCGCACCGTTTCCATGTCGGCACAGGTCTTGCCCTGATACGGCCTGAGTTCTCTTTGCAGGCCCAATGTGCGGCCTAGTCATGGGAAACGAGTCGAATTTTGAGTGCATCACCGGCGGATTGGTCGACACGACGAATCCCATCCGTCGCAGCGACGGCGCGGAGTCTTGGGGACACCTCGACACCTCGTAGAGGGGCACTGGCCCGTTGGTTCAAGAGAAGTCGACGCATGTTCCTCGACTTCGTGCAATTTCCCGAGTCAACTCGAATTTGGGGTGATCTCGGTGGGTCACGGAGAGTGGAGGACACGGAGACGTGCCGAGTGACTCGTTGTATCTCGCACGGCACGGCTGGAACTGAATGTCGAAAGAGACTTGTGTTGACTCATGAAAGGATCCGTGCGAACGGATCACGGAAGGCATTTCCTGATGTAGAGTACTTTAGAACTAAGAACTGCCACTCTGAAAAGCTCAGGACTGTCCGCTGTCACACCTTAAGGGACTTTTTCTCGGTTCCCGAACCCCACAGATCGACACAGATCCAGCGGCCGCTGTCGGCCGAGAGCCGTCCGAGCCGCTCCGGACGATCCACGCTCAAGCCGACGCTCACCAACCCGGACCGGTGCCGTCTCAGCCACCCGGGGGCACAGGAGCTTCTCGAGGCCACGAAGCGCCTCAGGCGGGGGACGAGGGGAAAGCACCGAAGCGGAACTGCGCGCTTCTGGGGGAAGCCATGGTGGGGGAAGCCATGTTTGGTGTACCAACATCATGGTCATGCTACTTGAACACCAAAAAACGATATGATATATTTTAGCTGTCAGGTACACATATATACATAGAATTTCACAGTGAGTGAGTGCCATAATCTGTGGGAGGTGTGTGCTGAGTGTTTTTCTTCTTTTGACATCTAGTGTCGCATGACGACCTTCCCCAGCTAAATTCAACCTTTTTGCTTCAAGCAACATGGAAACTTCTAGAGTCTGCTAGAGGTCGGTTAGGAAGATGATGTCCTCTACCGCAGCTGCATCGATTATTAAAGGCCTTTGAGCGTCAGCATGTGCGGGCCTTTCGAAAGCTCCTTTTCCTAAGAAAACGCCGAAAACGCCTTGGAATTTGAGAGGTTTCCTTCCATCCTCCTAGCTGAGCATCTCAGGTTGGAGGACGTCAGTTCCTTTGCCGTGGAACTTTGGGACTCCTGTCGCCGCAGCAGCAGAAACGCGCCAAGTGCCTCACTCTGCTGGGGCAACCTGCGGGAGGACGAGGGTGCCACTGGACAAGCACGGCGGCGGGGAAATGGTTTCGGGCACCTCAAGGGTAGGTCGATCAGGCAAGAATATGATCGGCTCGGAGGAGGGGAGACTTCTTTGGGAGTAGAGATTGATATGCTGCCTTGATGAGTATCATGTTGGTGGTCACCTACATCCCGCTGTGCTCTTGATGGTTGTGTTGTTCCTTTGAGGACTTCTTCAATGGCACTTGTTGCTCCATGGCTTTCAGTACCCGGGACCGGCTGCCCGTCCATGGCTCTGGGGAATTGGGTCCTCGGTAGGCCGCGGTCAACCACCGTAAGCACATGAACGCAGCCGCGCGGGCGGCCGCGCAGCCGCTGGCTCCGGTCGACCATCAATGCATGTCTATGGTATCCGATTTTTGGGGAGCGGAACCTGACCCCCTGCTTTTGAGCCCGGAACTGGCAGAAGATCTTTTGGTCTGGTTGGCCCCAAGCCTCCGTGAACCTGGAGGTCGGTGCTTCGTGTGCTTCGTGTGGCGCCACTGGGTGTTCCGGGTCACCCGGACGTCCCCGGTGGGTGTTCGACACCGAGGAGAGCTTGGTGAGGCGGATCCGGGACATCTTGGGCGTGCGCCTGCGAGAGGAGGTGAAGGACCGATTTCGGAGGGAGACAGTGCTGGGAGCTGTGCGGCGGCGGAAGCCGAAGTCGGAGGACACCAGACATCACCAGACCCACAGCCGAACTTCACCAGACCCATGAAAGACCTGGATGGGCTGGGCTAGTTACGGCTGAGAAGAAGTGGACCGAAGGCTTCACCCCGTGGGCCCTTCGCGTACAGGAAGCGCCAGCACCGCGCATTGCACAAGTGCCCGTGAGGCCACAAGGGCCAGGCAGCCGAAGGGGGGAAAGAGAGTTGGTTGAAGTGAGGGGGTTGTTCCCAGCACTTGGGTTGACGCCTGGAAGCACGTTTTTTTCCTCAAAGTCTGGTGTCTGGGGACCTGTGAATCTTCCACCAGAAATCTATCGCAGTTTCTTCTGCGATCTGTGGAGGCGTCGTAAGACCTCCATACCACCGATGAAAAACCACGGGGTCCCCCCCGCTAATAAGGAAACCTCGGTCGCACGATTTTACATAGGGGGGGTCCCTGGGTCCTCGGGCGGAGTCCAATAAGGGTGCGACCTACCATTGAAGACCTACCATAGTTCTGTTTTTCGGCTTCTGGGTGTTTCTGTGCTTTTCCACCGGGCGGTCCACGGGCGGATGGGGAGGCAGAGGTGTTGTGATGGCAGAGGACTCTAATAGTCTCCTCTTCCATCCGCAAGCTAGATGCTGTCCCGAGGGTAGACACGCGTAGACACCTCGATGGGGGAGATTTGGTCTAAGCAGAAGAGACTGAGGAAAGGTCGCCTCCATGTTGCCACCTTTATTCCCAGCTGCTTCCTGGGGAAACAAGGGCTCCCCACCCTTTCCACCCTTCAACATGTTCAAACCAAGTAACACATACTAAGTATGTACTAAGTAGCTTAGCAGACACATCACTCGACCATCTCGCACCCACTCATCTCATGCATACCTATGCAGAATCCTCTCACTCATCGTGAAGGGAACATCGTGAGAAAGTGACTCGCAGGAGGTTGGAGACCAAAGCTTCTAGTGAAGGAAGAATCCCTTTCAGGTTATCTGAAGGAGGGCTTTCTATTTTTTCCAATGGTCTTGGACCTTTTAAATTTCATCAAAGATACATACATATAAGGAACAATGACATAAAAAGACTAACAAGTACACAACTTTCGCAGTACCCAACTGAAATATCACGCAAGATGCCACAAAGGTGTGTCACGTTGCAGATCCTTACAACAGCCTTGCGCCAGGGCACTCCCAAACCATGTGCACAAAAGTCCTCCGTGAGGTGAAAGTCATTCCACCCCGACTCCATCGCTGCGCACCGCTTCTGTTCGCCCGGCCGAGCACCTGGTCGAGCGGATGTGAGGCGTGGTGCTGGTGCACGAGGTTATGGACGGCACGGAGGAGAGCGGCGGTTTCTGCGGCGGTTCGAAGCGTTTGGATGGGCATTGGTGAGGGAAGGTATTAGACTTTGCTCATGCCTAGAGAAAATGGCGGTTAAGATATATAGGGACCGGCAGATGTGCAGATTGGATGTGTCTAGTTGCTCTTGGCTTGCATCCTCCTCCTCCTCCTCCTCCTCATAATCATATGACTCCACCCAGATCTAGCATCAATCAACCTCTGTCCTCTGTTGGAGGCTGCGGAATTTCCCCAGTGCCCAGACCCTTCTTGCCGCCGTTCGCAGGAGAATGCCGCCGTGGAGGTGATCTTCCAAGGAGGCCTCCAACCGAGTGGGCCACGGTGGAGTGCTCCTCACACGGGGTGTTGGCAGATGGTTCTCAATGTGTTCAATTGGATTAAGGCGAAACCACCCAGTGCAAGCGAGGTTAGGAACCGCCAATCAAGCTCGCGACTCTGCAGTTGGTGCCCTTGGGTCGTGAACTGACTCCCGGAGTCCTCTTCCTCGCCCAAGCTGCATCCGATCCTTGAAGCAAACGCAGCCTCACAGCAGAGGAAGGATGTCTGTATTGAAATAGGAAGATCGACCCCAGCTCCGACCCCTCCGACTCCACACCAGGTTCGGGTTTGGAAAATCGATCAGAATAGCCTTGGGGCCAGGGTCCAGGGCCGGTCTCCGCACCCAGGCACCACGCGAGGTGGAGCGCCAGAAGCCTTGGAGCGCTTGGCTGAGATGCAGGCACCAGTTTTTGGTCATTTGGGCTGGTGTGATGAGCACGAACACATGGTGTCTTGGCCAACAGGAACCCAGTGATGTCATGGATTCATGACATCACTGAGCCCACTACCATGATTTAACTTCAGTTATAGCAGTCATGCAGATAAGTGATCTGCAATCTAGATTGTGACAAGCCGCCAAATGCGGCACCATCTGACAGTGTTTGGCTGGCCACCACCTACCTGATCTACCTGTGCCTTTACGGATGCATTCTGGAGCTCGAGCAGTTGAGACTTGTCTACCTACTGACGGAAGCAGCTGGTCAAACCCACCGCGTTTTCGGTCAAAAGAGATGTCTCTTCAGAGAGAAGGGCAGTCGTTTTCTGACTAAGGGTGGTACCTTTGGAAGATCCTTAGGGTGGCTCCGGTTTGTCTATGTTCAAACATAGAGACCCACTGACCGGACTCGCTGACCGGAGCTTTTACAGCTCCGCAGGTGCTGTCCTCGGTGATGAGCGATGCGTCGCTGGGTTGCGCTGCGCTGGGGCGTCGGCGCCACACTTACCAGCAACATGCCACATGTACAGCATGTGTCCCATTTCCCACTGGCACGGAGCCACGCAGAGGCCAGAGATATCGACAACACCTGCATGTCTTTGCACCTGCATTGAACAAATACATATTATGATATATTATGTTTTTTTGGCTACAGAGCGGTGTCTATACACAGGTATTTCTACACCTCCATCTACACATATTCGTGTCTATACACCTTCATGATGACAAATCAAACTATGACACAATGATGCACTTGAAGTCTTGACCTGCATGTCTACACCGTGATGATGCTGTTGTTGTTGTTGATGATGATGATGATGATCAAGCTGACTGTGGGTACTGACTTGATGACGCTCAACAGGAGAAGGAACCTAAGGAACATGGAGTTTAAGGAAGACGCATGAAGATAGAGTTGGCAGCAGTTCTACGAAGAACCCTTTACACGAGTTTTTGGAAAACACATTGCACGTGCACAACCACACAAAACAATGGACTTTTGGCGCAGGTTAGCAATAAAAAGAAATGTTCTAGAGGTTTTCGTGAGTTCAGTTTCATGTTCGTTGAAGTTCCTTGAAGGGTTCAGAGTGGGTGATCTACTGTGGATAGATTTTTCATTGCTTCACTTCTCCTCAGGTTCTATGAGCAGCTTCGCACGCGTGAGCAGCTGGGCTACATCGTCTCCTGCCGTGCCGACCGCAACGAGGGCGTCTTCAGCCGCTTTTCGTGCGAATGGAACAAGGCGGAGGGCGGCAGTGGACCCGGATGGTGAAGTGTTGTGAAGTGTTGGAGACATGACACCCCGTAACTTCAGTCGGCACATGAGTTACGTCATGGCCCATTCTGGTTGGCCCTCACATCTTGGAGTATTGCTCTTGTTCACTTTCTTCTTTTTTTCCCAACTTTTTTGCTAGGGGTTTTGTGGCAGAAGTAAACGGTTTCTGTTGGTTCGTGCTCCGATTTCTTTGGTTCATTTAGGTTGATCCTGATGGTTAAGCAGCTCCTGCTCCTGTGACAATTATATTAGAGATTTGTACGTTACTTCTTGCCTCGCGGAAACTCGGAAATTCAGGGGGAAGGCTGAGTATGCCCATCACCCCGTTCTTGACGATGGCATTTGCCTCCAGTCTCCTCCAGTGATTGATTTTTTTAAACAAGAGTCCTGGAAACCATTTTTGTAGGAACTACTGATGTTAAAGCCATCCAAGAGAGGTTGAACAGCCGTATAGCCCATCCCATATGTACCACAGACCAGGGTCTCTCAATCTCTCTTTCCCATGTGCACCAACCAAACCGAACGGACGACGAAACCCATCCTCGGGCTCGCCCTGCCGGCCCTCCCAGGTCTTGTGTGTGTGGTGCAGGGGGCAGCCAAAAGTGCGCTGGAGGCGTTCCTGGCGAAAGTAAGAGGATGACGGTAATGATAGGAGGAGAGAGTGGCAGGTAGAGGACAGAGCAGGGCAGGTAGTCAACCTCAAGTGAGTTCACCCACGCAAATGAACCAAAACTGAAGCGGACATGGTGAAGACGCTGCTTTCGGGCTCAAAGTTGTGACCCACACCGGTGATTTTCTGAGCTTTTCTGAGCTTTTCTGAGCGCCTTAGGACGTGCAGAGTTTTTTTTTTGGGGAGAAACCTCTTCGAGTTTTAAAACGGATGGCTTCCATTTTTCGGATCGTCGCGGATCAACCACACACATTTGGATGACATGAGTTAACTAGTTATCAACTGGACAGTCCTGTCTTTTTTTCGATTTCGGCCAACCGGACATCACCGGTGCCGCGGGCCCTCCCGCGCGGGACGTCCTTCGATCCTCCGCCGGGATCGTCCAGGTGCTGAAGCGGATCGATGCCTTTCTGGACTCGGTGCCCGACACGCTGAAGGCGCGACTCGGGCGAATGAGGGGGGTTGGAGCCGTGAAGCGGTGGGGGGGGGGGTGGCCGCCCGAGGAGGCAGGGAGGGGCTTGGTGAAGGCAGGGAAGCGGGTGTGTGAACAGGAGTTCAGGTCAGCTGAAGGTTGAAGGTTGATCCATCCCGAAGAAACCTCTTGGAGTCTCAAAAGAAGAATTCCAGCTGTGTGCGTCGTGCCAGACTCAGTGTTCGCCGGCAACGACCCGCGTTAGTGGACGCTGCAAAGCCACTGAAGAATCCACAGAGTTGTGGATTATATGGATCGACGAAACGCTTTCGTTTGGAAGGGCCTTCATTAGTACCAAACAATGCCTTTGCACTTTGCAGCCCCTGGAGTCCCTGGAGCGTGGAATTGACAGGAATTTCAAGGTCTTTTGATCACAAGCTCAAATGAACAGATGGGTACAGATGTTTCTCCATCTACCAGCACCCTCCAACAGGTCACCACCTAGAACTTTTAAGTCTGCAAAAGGCACCAGGTACATATCACTTGAGCAAAACACGAAGTAGGCATTTGTTTTCGATCTCCTGTTTTCACTTGTTCCAAAAATCCTTTCAATGAGGCAGGCTGCAGGCCATCCGACCATCCATGGTCTCAGGTCTTTTCTCCAAACTTGATTCACTCGTTCGGACAAATAACCGAAAGAAGAGTTCCGGTTCTGTTCCCTTCCCCGTTCCCCGCGTCTCCGTGTTCCCCCTTCCGCGACGGGGTTCCGCGGCGCGAGCGTCTTCAGGCCAAGAGCGACGCTGAGATCCAGAGCTTGGCGGACTCTCTGGCGCAGGCGGTGTCCAACCCGACCGGACCGGACGACGGACGACGGTGTCGCCGGCCCCGCCACGGGACTGGGAGGACGACCGGAGTGGAGAGAAAAATGGAGTAGCACCTCGGAGTTGTCCCTTGCTTGCAGGGACCAAAAACGGATCATTCCAAGATTCCAAACTTTGATTTCAGCGCCAACCGACCGAGCCATACCTTTCGAACAAGGATTTTAGACCACCAACACCAGTGTCGTTCCCGGGAAGGCGATCCGTCCCATGTCGAGACCGTGGAACTGGGAGACCGAGACTGGGACCCGTCCGAGATGTTCACAACCAACGACCGGAAAGGCACCGAGCTGGTCGGCAGAAGTGCCAAGTCGTGCTTTTTGGGACCGAGCCGCATCCAGTTCCAGTGAGATCAGTGGTCGGATCAGAGGCCCTTCCTAGCTCCGTTTCGTAGGAAGGCCAGCCCCCGGTTCGGTTCGCGTCCGCTTGCTCGTTCCGGTCGCCAAGACGCCGGAGCTCCGTCTCTTCAGAGACCACTCTTAATCATGGCAGCCCATCGCTGCACGGTCTCCAGAGGTGAAACCACGGTCTCCGAGACGAAGGAGTCCGAAGACGTCTTCAATTGAGACGAAGGATTCCATTGAGACGAAGGAGTAGCTCCGTTTCGTAGGAGCCGGGTTTCTCCACCGTTGATGCCACAAACCGGCGCTTGGCACGCTTGAGCCAGGCGCGCTTGGCGCGGCCACAGCAGTTGCTGAGCGCCGTGGAACGGTCATGGGGAGAGATCCGGAGCCACTTGGGAGAGGAATCTGGGAAAGTGGGGGAGAGCTTGTTGGAGAGCTTGGAGCAAGAATTCTGCTTAGTGAGAAGTGGTGAGAAGTGGTGAGAAGTGGTGAGCAGTGTGTTGGGAGGTGGCGAAATCCCGTCGGCGCGCACCATGCAAGTCACTTTTTTTTGGAGGGGCTGTCGTAGAACAACACTACTTCAGACCATGACCAGTCAGACCAGTCAGATTCGGACTGCTTCTGCGGCTCTGCGTGCCCGCGTCGACACGTCCAGAGCTAAGCCCAGCGTGTTTCGGAGAAGTGAATGACATGTGTGTGTATATTCAAATGGGGCCAGTTGACTCGGCCCTGGCTGGGTAGATTCGTCGATTTTCCCAAACCAAAAACGCATGTAGTATTGTATAAATATCAAGCGATATACTTAATAAACATAGCATGTAGTATTGTATATTATATGTATTCATACTTGTTTAAATATCTAAATTTACCTGGAGCCTGAGTGACCTCTATTTTGGAGGATCAACTATCCAAAATATGGTCTTTTCCTATCAAAACAGAGGTCAGTTGGGCTCTAGGAAACTAGTATGAACAAGTGATCCCTCAGTGAATTTCAGCATATCACTGATCCAAAGCTTTGTCCTGGACTGTCCTGGCTGGAGACCCCCTCCGCTACTGGGGGCACAAAGAAGCTGCAGGAACATCCTCTCCTCTCCAGGTCCTGCAACTTCTAAGCGGTCACAACGATGCAGTTCGATGTTTGTATCGCACCCCACGGACTCATCGCAAACCACAGCTTCATCCTTCCGAACCTTAAACAACCACTCACTCGCGCCGGACTCGGACTCCTGCTTGCTTCACACCTCCCGCGACCGACCGGGCGGCGTTCCGGAGCCCGCGACCACCTCCTCCGCTCCTCCAGCTCTCCGACCCTCTCTCGTTCCACACCTCCGAACTCTCCGGGAAGACGAACTCGCCCGGAGACCCCAAACCGCCCCCGCCTGAGCGACTGACTGGGTGGCGACGACCGACACCACGCGTCCGGCCGAGGCCAAGAGTTCCTGTGGTCGCGGCCCTTGGACGAGGCCTTGGCGTTGCGGAAGGTGCGCAAGGCGCAGGTGATCGAGGCGAGATGGGGAGATGGAGAGAGATGTTTCGGGTTGAAAGGATCCTTTTGTTTTCTTTTTCGGGCCGGGTGGTTGGGAAAATCATGTCTTTTTTGGAGGGGGGAAGGAGTTGTTTGAAGGTTTTGGGATTTTTCAAGAACGGGTGAGGCAAGCGATTGTGAAGTGTTGGGTTGTCGAATGGCCTCTGTCATCACGGGATACGTTTTGTAGTTTGAATACCATTTAGAAACGACCATTTTGGTGGTGGCTTTCCAGTTTCCCGATGTGAACATCATTGGATCCCAGGTCTGATCGGCACCGGCCATGTTTCGAGATGAGACGGATCTCTCTCTCCCTCGGTTCTGGAGTGGCAGTACCTGCAAGTAGATGCCACTCAAGCTCAGTACACTCCGACGAACGCATCACATGGAAATGGACAATTACCTGTTTGTAGAGGATTTGATGGTGGCCATGCAAGCCACTTCCATGTGATGTGTTCGTCCAAGTGTACTAAGCTTTGATATTTGACCTTGTCTTGCAGGGCTGCACCTGCTACATTGGCGTCTCACCACCCTCACGCAGTCTCAGCCGCTCGCACCGTCTCGACCCCGGACGCGATCGACAGACGTTTTCGACCTCCGAGTTCGGAGTCACCGTCGTGGGACAACGGTCCGGGAACATCCCACGACGCGAAGGCCCGTGGTAGTATATAATGGTTCGTGAGGATCCACACTTCGACGCAGCCCTTGACAACTTGAGATAGATCAATGAGTCTTTTGTTCCATGACAGATAAGCCCAAGAAAATCAATCCGAGAGTGGAGAACAACGGGCGCTTCTCGTCACCTCTCTTCACCAAAGATCGGACGGCGGACCTTCCTGTGCTTCTTCGCACGAGGCCTTTAACCGCTGGGTGCGCCCGGGCGGCGCCGAGCGCCGCCGGCTCTGCTCGCTGGTGCTGCGCGGCGCTGAGGCGGCTGCGCGGCAGCTGGAGGGCGAGGGAGCCGAGGCCGGGGCTGCGAGGAAGGGAGATGAAAGGAAGGGAGGGGCGGGGCATTTTTGTCTCTTGGAGGCTTTCCATGGAGAGATGGTTCATTTTTGCGATGGCTTTTAAAGCTCAGAGTGTATTGTGTGATTGCTCTCGTGTTTTTTACACTCAGAGAGGTTGGGTGGCTGATGTTGGCTTCGAGGTAAGGTTCGGAAACGGCACTTTGTTTTTGTGTCGAAAAAGACAAGCCACCATTCCCAGCCTACATTCCAAGATATTCCAAGGTGTATGTGAAGGTGGGGATTTATGGATTAGAGCAGTTTGTCACCGATTTGTGTGTTCAGAATCGCGAAGCAGCTTGGCCATTCCGAATTTCTGAGCCTTTCACTGGTGTTTATCTCTTCATCTCTTAGCCTCGTAAGCCTCTCCGAACAGTGCTCTTGCTATCCGTGTCAGTTCCATGGATCCATTCGGCATCCAGAAGAGGGGGGGGGGTGCTCTGGTTTCTGAAGCAAGCCGCCCCAAGCACAGCAGTGGTGTTTCAAGTCCTTATCAGATAAAACTGGAAGTATTTCTTCATGGCTGAAGTTCGATCAAATAGACCAACTTTCTCCATGAATCCAAAGGAGATCTGGAACAGAGCACCCCCCCTCTTCTGGTTTGAAGAAGGTGCTTTTTGTACTATAAAGGAGATCTGGAAAAAAGCCGATGCTGGTGTTCTTTGAAAGATTCCATCCCATCCATCTTCTGTCGGTGTCCACACCTTCTTCGTCCAGCACCGGTCTACCTTCGTTGGTCTCAGATCGTTATCGTTTTTTTTCCTTTTTAGGCCATCCACCTGGTCACGCTTGCGGTCTTAGACCTCTGAAAGCCTTGAATGAACATCCACCTGGTCACCTGTTTCCATTCGAGGAAGACGAAACCGCCCGCCCTCCCACCTGGCCCCACCTGGCCCCTCGTAGCTAGCCTACCACTCCGGGACCCCGGGAGCCCCATCGCCGGGCCCATCCGTCGGAACAGATCCTCTCCGAGCCGCAACGCTTCGCCCAAGTGCGACCGGGTCGATGTGGTGGGTCGAGTTGGAGGGATAGAGGGGTCGGAGAGGTGGACGATGTGGAGACATGTGGAGAAGAGATCAAGTCTCCTATGACCAGCTGAAAAGAAGGTTCATTATCCTTTAAAGGTAAAACTCAAGCCAGGCCTCTGATGCCAAGAAGGTTTCAGGGGATGGACATGAATCGGTGAACATGATTGAACATATATAACATGTTTCTGGGGGGACACACTATGGTGATCCCGATAAAGTCATTGGCAAACCTCTTAGGCATTTGAGAAAACATCTTGTCAATCGATTGATTGCAAAGCAGAACAGTTGAGAAGACAAAGCAGAGAGAGAGAGAGAGAGAGCCTGCGTGGTCCGGGACTTCCCAAAGAGAGTTGAGGAAACGCTCTGGGCTTTGCCCCCCCCGCAACATCAGGAAGCATCGGAAACAACACCCCTTTTGGGGTTCCGAAGACCTTGGTTGGAAGTTCCGTGACTGTGGTGGCGGTTCGTGTGCTGCACATGGGTTTGGGGAGGAAGACATCGGAGGAGGCGTTGGCATTTCGGTGGTTCGTTGGCTTCACAGCTGCACCACTCACCCTACTATAGAGATGGCCTCCAACTCCAACCTAATAGTTGTGGCTTTTGCTGGGCTTTGATGGTCGATGAGGCCTTTGCCATGGGTGTGGGGTTGATGGCTGGAGTGGAGCTCACTAAACCTCAAGAGCCACTGAATGGTCCAATTCTCCCAAGGCACCTTTCTTCAAGGCCACCCCTCAGATGAGGTTTTGCACTCCACCCCTCAGATCAACCGCTTCTTCGGTCCAGTAAACACTCGACCCACATGCTTCCTGCACGAGAGACGCCTTCAAAGTGTTCGATTGATCAGCTTGCGTTGAAGAGCTTGAAACCTGCACACCCAAGTTGTTTTAGTCCAAGTCAGTTTGGATTGACCAAGATGATCCAAGATGCCCACAAAGACTTGAAGTCATCCCTCGAACTAGCATGGGCCAACGTGGATTTCATCTTCCCTGCAAGGAAGACGATTTTCCGAATACCACAGGGGGTTTTCCACTTTCATGTTTGTTACATCGCAGAGTAAATGCTCGTGTGGCGACAGAGGGACTTGAAGTTGGTTTCCCTGGCATCCTTTAGCGTAGCCCAAAGTAGAATATCACATATAGGTGGTGGTTGAAATGGGAAGTTGTCTTTTCTTGTGACGCGCAGTTCACCGCCTTTTTGATGTGTACCACGTTTCTCATAGAGTGTTTCTGAAAAGATCTACTATTTAAAGGCTTACGCCTAACAGCCGGGCGCCGGCACACTAGGGTGTGTGGAGGGCTGGGTCGGGTGCACGTGCAGCTATCGGGGGCGTACAGCACCCCGGCAGGATGCGTCCAACGGACGGAGGCTGACTGCCCTGGCTGCAGATAGCAGTCGAAAGTCGGGAGAGCCGTCGCGGTGGTAAGATGCGTTGGATGACACCCAGCCACTCGCACGACAGAGTCTTAGAACCGAAAGAGGAACACCAGTGGTACGCCCAACCCTCACCCGTCCCGCAACATAGTCAAGACACACGTGTGCGGAAATGCAACCTGTTACTTGAAACCCCTAGCCATAGTCTGCAGCAAGACGATGTAGCGACACCCGTGGTACGCATAACCGTCGCCAGTCCTAGAACACAGTCAGAACACACGGACCGCAACATGGTAAGAGATAGTATGGTAAGAGCAGCGTCAAGTTGGAGGCAAGAGGGGTAGCGAGCGCAGGATGCATGGGGATACGGATTCGAGTCGCCGAGTTGGGAGGGTATGGAAAGAGCTGGTGGTTTTTTTCCCGTGTAGTAGTTAGAAACCGGGTTGATTGTCACAGTAGAGAGGGACAGGTAGATGAGTGCGTTAGGTGCTAACAGTTGGAACGCAGGGACGCGACCACTTTGTAAGCCAGCCAGGTAACGAAGCTCAAAGAGGGGAAGCGTGCCAACCGTGGACCGGCAGCGGAGGCGGGGTGGGTGGTGGGAGCATGGTGCAGAGGGAATGAGCTTGGAGTGGCAGTGAACTGACGGGTGGGCAAGCTGTTTGTTTTTCAGGGATGGTATGACAAAGCATGGAAAGCAGGCATCAAAGAGGTGCTTGTCTCGAAGAAAAACATTCGAAGCCTGATAGGGTGACAGATAGAGTGACTGTGCAGACTTAGGCTCAAAACAGTTGTGCCTGCGAACAGGGACCTGCGACGTGCAAGCCAGAGGTCTAACTCTCGCAACACAGACATGCCTGTGCCGCCGATGGTGCGGGAAATTACTCCGCAGGTTTTGGAGCAGATGTTGCAGTGGCAGCCGGGCAAAGTTGGTACCATGGACTCACTCGGGCAGAGGTGGAGAATTGGGTCGCTCTGGGCTTGAGAGAAGGGACCCGACGGGAAGGGTTTTTGTCGTGTTTGTTCTGCAAGAACAACAAACGGCAACAAATTCTCTTCCAAGGCACCAATGAAGTCCGAGACCATTTCCAGCGAAACCACGACAGGCCTGAGGCAATGGAGGAACCGCTGGCCGCCGTGGCGGAAGAGATTGGGCGAGCTTTGGCCGTAGTCGAGGAGACTATGGACCAGGCGGGAGCTACGGCGCGTGCCGGTGGTTGCAGGGCAGAAGCCAAACTGTGGTTAAAGTGTAGGGTAAAACAAATGAGTAACATATTTGTTTTGTCCGTAGAGTGAAGGGAAAGTTAGCTAGGTATTCCTGTAGCTTTGTGGTGGAATAGCTGGCAGTTTCGCTGAGGTAGCAGGTGGCTACTGCACGGTGTTTTTAGAAAAGCATGAACATCGGAAACGACATCGAAGAACAAGTGTAAAGGAAATGAAAGTTTGGGGTTGGTCTCCCCGACTGCCAGGTCGGCGTCTGGGTCGAGCAAGATGCGCGAGATCGTGTGGCAGCAGAGGCAGCGGTGCTCCCGGCCGCCCCCCCTTCGCCAACTTTGTTGGACGCAGCTTTGAGCGCCTCCGGTGAGATCGCCGATTTCTTCCAACGCTTGACGGCAGTCCTGGCACCGTCTATCTCTGCAAACCGGAAAATGTTGGCCACCGCTTTGAAAGCCGTGCACTCTTTGCCCAGTGTCCTGCAGAACGTCGTTCAGCAGCGCTCTGCAAGAGGAGCCAACTGGAATGATTTAACCCGACCGGAGAACGTGGAGTGGGCCGTGCACGATGGAACAGATGCAGAACCAAGGTATCAGCTGGCCATGTGCAAAGATCGTTCCTTTGAGTACGTTGACAAGGCGTCTCTGTACAGCACCATTTTGGTGCGCCTGGTGGTGGATGGGGTTGAAGAGACTGCAAATGGGCTGAACGCAGTGGATCGCCAAGCCGTGCTCGAGGCCATCTGCGTGCATTTCAATGAGGCAGCCAGGCAGCAAGGTCAGCCGTCGAGGCTTTTGATCGCGCAGGGTGGCGCCCGAGCCATCAAATTCGACCTTGATCCTACCGACATCGACCGCCAGTACGGCGGCTGGGCCAAAAGAGTGACCAAGCGGCAGGCGGAGACTCATGTGGCAGTCGGTCGCCCTGGCAGGGTGCTGCAGAGGTTGGACTGAAGGGCAGAACTGCTGAGCGTCGCTCAACGGCTTCGCACGGGTGACTGACGCACCGTCTTCGGCAGCTCTTGGATGGCGCGTCCTGCAAATGTTGTGTCGCAGCCAGAAAAAAAAGCAAGACCGTTAGTGGCAGCCGGGCTGGAGAAGATGTCGCAGTCGGAGCAATCATAAACATGTAACAGCAAATACACTGGTACACCGGGTGGGGAAGGCGGTGCCGGTGTGAGCGTGTGAGAAATAATTCGTGCAGGAAGCAATGCTAGAGAATTGTTATTTTCGTACGCATGCAAATAACAATGACCCAAGGACAACCTTTCCTGTTAGTGATTTAGTAGTCCCAGCCCGTCATGAAATTGCTGGCCGGTGAAAGGGGCCACACAACAACACGCACCAGTCAGAGTGCGGGATGATGAACAGAGGCAGGCAAGGGATTTGTACGAACCATGGTGTTCGATCTATCAAAGAGACCGTGTCGTAGCAGTGTACGGACCATGGGAACGGGGAAAATTTTCCAGCGGAGGACTAGCCAGTAAGAAACAAAGAAGTTGTCACGAAAGGTTGTTGAACAAAGATGAACAGATTTGAGCTCGCTGGACGCGTCGCCTGCCTAGGAGTGTGGCAAGGCAGGGAGTGAGTACGCGTCACTGCGTGTGCAACAAGCAAGAAACAGAACAAAAGGGCGCGGGGTCAGAGCGTCGCTCAGCCAGGGCCCGTGAGTTTGATACATGTGCCGTAATTTCTATTTGAAAAGAATGTTTTGATGTCAGCCGCCCAAGGCAACGTCTAAACGCAGTGGTTTGAAGCCAGCAGGTTTCAACCGTGAATAGTAAGGAACAGAACGGGCCGACACCGTGGAGCGCGAAGGTGTGCGGAGTAGAGCGAAGCGGGCGTGGACTTGTCCAGACTATCGTTTTGAACAGTCTGCTATGCAGGGAGCGTCGGTGAATGGAAGGATGGCGCCATGGCTGTATCAAACTTACATTTGCGTAGCAAGGGGTGGAGGAGAAATAAGCAACATTTTCCAATGGAGTGGTAATGGAGAGGTTGCGGACTGCGTTTGAGGACGCAGGAGCTGTGGCACGATTTCTCTCACTCTCTCTTTCTCTCACTGTCTTTTCCTTGCTTCAGAACCCACACAAGCAGCTTAGTGCGTGTCGTGGCAGGTCTACGGCGAGAACGTCCTCAGTTGGTAGGGGGCCGACAGAGACCAACCCTCCCTGTGCAAGACGGGGGCCGGGGTGTGGGGCACCCCGGCAGCATCCGTCCCAGCGACGGAGGCTGACTGCCCTGGCTGCCCCTAGCAGCCAAAAGTCGGGAGAGCCGCCGGAGAGAGAGGAGGCGCGCGGGGGCCGACGGACGAAGACGACGCGACCTAAGCGGTTGACGGTTTTGGAAGTGGTAGGGGGCATTCGGTGCAACAGTCAGCATGCACTTAGAGTAAGCTTTTTTTTAGGTGCAAACTGCAAGGGGTGGCTCGGGGTATGTACATTTGGCTCCAGCGCCTGAAACATCGTGCCGGAGAACGCGGCATCCCACGCGGCAGCGTAGCTTCGGGCAAGAGCGTCGGTGAAGCCGCGGCAAAGTCGAGTGCGCCGCTGATGGCAGCGACCGGATACGCACCTGGAGGGGGCTTAGGTGGCACGCCGAAAAAACAGAAGGCGCAGCGACAGTGCTGCGCCTGGGGCCAGTGAGGCGAAGAAACTTGACAGCGTGATGGAAATTCATTGCCAGCCAGTGTGGAGGGAAGTCACCGTGCGTGATAGCGCCCCGCCGAATGCTCGGCCTTGCCACAGCTCTGCCCTGTAGAGTTGTGCTCCCAAACCGGCCTCAAAGCCTCGGACTTTTTGCTCCCAAACGCTGCGTCTGAATCCCTCAAAAAGAAATGGATTTTCACCACTTTTCTCCCCGTCCTGGCCTTCCGACACTATCTGAACCTAGTGGCCGCAGCTCTAAACAGGCCGCAGCCCCAAACAAGCCCCCACCAGTGGCTTGATACCACAGTGGCCGCAGGTCTAAACAGGCCGCAGCCCACAACAAGCCCCAACCAGTGGCTTGATATGACCCCGAGCCGCCACAGCTTTCCCCCATAGAGTTCTCCTCTGAAACGGGCCTCGATTTGTCGGACTTTCGCTGCCAAACGCTGCGTCGGAATACCTAGAAAAGAAACGGTTTCCCTCCCACTTTTCTCACCTATCACTTATATTTTCTCACCTATACCACCTCTTTTCTCACCTGCTCACCTATCTCCTGGCCTAGTGGCCGCAGCTCTAAACAGGCCGGCCCTAAACAAGCCTAAACAGGCCGCAGCCCTAAACAAGCCCCCACCAGTGGCTTGCTACCAGTGGACGCAGCTCTCTAGGTCGCAGCCCCAAACAAGCCCCAACCAGTGGCTTGACATGACCCCGAACGCTCGGCGCCGCCACAGCTTTTCGCCATAGAGTTCTGCTCTGAAACCGGCCCCGATTTGTTGGACTTTCGCTGCCAAACGCTGCGTCGGAATACTTAGAAAAGATTTTTCTCATCCTGGCCTAGGGGCCGCAGGTCTAGACAGCCCGCAGCTTCAAACAAGCCCCCACCAGTGGCTTGATACCACCCCAAACGCTCGGCGCCGCCACAGCTTTCCCCCATCTCAATCCCGAGAAAAGAAATGGGTTTCTCCAACTTTTCTCGCCCATCCGGACCCTATGATGAAACTTGTGGCCACAGCTTCAAATGGGCCGCAAGCCCAAAGTCAGCGGCTATCAACCATCTACACATCCAAAGTCAGCGGCTATCAACGACTGGTCGCCGCAGCCCCAGCCAACCCTCTACAAATCCAAGGTCAGCCGATACCAACAATTGCCTAATGCAGACTCCCACACCTGTAGTCCCTGGCGCGCTCCCCCTTCCATCGGCCGGGGTCGGCGGATATAGAACAGTCCATGTTTCCCCGGCCAAAAAGAGAAATTCCAGCGGACCATTCCGAACTTAGACGCATCTCAAGAATGCATGGTTTCTTTCGCAGTTCCCTTTTCTCTGTCCATTCGAGCCGACACGTCCATTCGCAGTGTCCCACCGTCGGTCTCTCAGGCAACCCGCCTGGCCGGCCGGCAAGGCCGTGACCGTGACGAGCGCTTGAAAAGGGGACATGGCCTCTGGGGCTGATCTTGGTTTCGGGTGAGATGAGCCTGAAGTCAAGGACTTCAATGTTCGGAACAAGCAGGTTACTCCAGCGACCACAAAGATGGGCGGTCCGATTGTTGGGAGGCCACTGGTAACCCTGACGTGGTCGTGTCACCCGTCGTGGCCGTGGTACACCCGTCGTCTCACACCAAGCCGTCCTGGTCTGGTCGACCGCTGATTCGGGGCTGTAAAGGCGCAGTGACCCCCCTGTGGCACAGAAACGTTGGAAGGTTGGGCAGTGTATTTTGGGGAAACTTAGGTTGTGTGCATACTTTTGGATGCTAGCCCTAACACTCACCCTTCTAGTTTTCCTAGATGGATTGAGTGTTTTACTGGATCCACGGATCATAACCAGTTCCCAAATGAATTGACCAATGTTGAGTTGATTTGAGTTGACTCCAGAGGATGGTGAGCTTCTTGGATCCGATCGACGTGTCTTCTCATTGGTACACCTGTGATCCAGCTTCTTGCGATCGAGCCGTTGAAGGCGTGGATGGGGATCCGTCATCCCCCCCACTTGGGCCGGAAGCGAGCCCGAGCCGGCAACGAGCTTTAGGACTCCAAAGCTTTTTGGAGGTTGAGAAAGATTGGGATTTTTTCAGATTGGTCACTTTCAGATGGGTCAACTCGAACTTTGTTTTGGGATTCGCAGGACTTCTATATACTGCAGATCGTGAACCGGTGCGGCTGTAGCCCGTCAGACGTGGTTTTTGGTCCCAACAATCTCAGCTTTGGGGGATGCAGTCTTGAGGGTGAAGGGAATATCGAGCGAATCAAGGCAGCTCATCCACCCATCCCTTTGAAGATGGCAAAGAAAAGGCTGTTCGAAGAGGGGGAAAGCAGATACTGCTGATTGGCGTCTCTAAAGTGTTTGATTCAAGTAAGCCACACAGGAGCGCATTCCAACAAAAAATGGGTTATCCTACAGTCCATATTGACATCACAAGTTTCACCAAACTGTTCAATCTATGATTTCTCATCTACAACTCTTGGTTTTAGATTCACTCCATGGTGTGCCACTCACCGGTTTTGCCCGGTACGTTCCGGTATTGCCCGTTACTCACCAGGGGTTCCCCCCGAAGCTTCACGTTCCGGTATGGCGCGAAAAAGCAGCGACCAGAGGGGAACGGTCGAAGCTTCGGCAGATGGAACTTCCGGAACACCGAAGGAGCTTTTGGTGCGTTTCGCGGAGCTCGTGCCGCGCCCCGGGAGCTCGTTGCGCGATGTTCACGCGTTCTGCAACCCTTTTGGGACCAAGAACCAGCTCTTGAGCTGAAGAGAACGGGTTGCCCGTCATGGCGCACCGCACCACGCGGGCGCGCAGACTCAGCAAAGGGACGAGGGAGAGTTAGGGGGACATGGGCTGGAAGCTTTTTTTGGCTTGGTATTCGTATAAGGAGTCTTCCAATTTCTTCGGGAATGACCCTAAATAGGTGGCCCAAGGAGGCTTCGGCTCCTGGAGCTCGGAAGCCGTGCTTGCTGGAGCCGAGCTGCGGAGCTGCCATTAGGTGTCTATGTCGGAGACCTCCCGTTGCACCACCAGCGTTGAAAGGACAACCAGAACTGCAAGACGGCTGTTCACTCGCACAGCTTCGTTGGACATCCCAGAGTGGTTGCCCCCTTCCAACAAACTCACATGACCTTGCGCGTGGTTCCAAAAGAGGATAGGCTTGGACCTCGGAGTGGTTCCACTTGCGTGAAGATTCACATGACAAAAAGGTCCCAAGACGGAGACCAATGACAAAATAGAGTAGGACTCCTCCAAATGTGTCCAATTCAGTTTGTCAAGGGGGTTCCTTGTCCAACAGATTTCCAATACCCAGCAGCTCCAAAAGGGTGCTGTTTATAAGAGGACGTCGGGGTGCCCCTGTCACATCCACTCACTACCCAAACTACCCAAACTCCTGGACCAAAAAGGATGTTTGAAAATCTCCTCACTGGCCGGGTCAAAAGACTACCCCATTTGGAACTTTTGAACATCCCCTCACTGGCTGGGTCTAGAGACTACCCCCTTTGGAACTGACCTGGCAAGGGATTTCTGGCCCTGGCCCTGCTGATTCCGGTCCATTCAACCCACGGTTGTCTGCTTTTGGCTGCGCCCCCGTGGAGAGGTCTACAGGTCTACGGTCCATGCGGAGAGGAAGGTTTGCAGACCATACAATTGTCTCTATACCTGTGGTGTCGGATTTCGGATCTGAAGCCCTTTTGATGGTTTGGGGGGCTGTGGCGGAGAATGGAGATCTTCCGGTGCCACGCCCACGGCTTTTACGCACCGCCCGGACCGGACCGGACCCCGGCTGCAGGTGGTCCGTGCGTCGGTGAGTCTCCTCTGCGTGGCGTGGGTGGGTGGCCCTAAAGGGCCGGAGAGGTCGGCGTGCGACTTCGCGCGCGGCTCACCGTGACTTCGCGCGTTGGAGAGGTGGTCGGTGTGCACGGCATGGTCTTTTTGGGGGGGATCTTATAGGATCTGGTGGAATATTTCGTGGGCGTGGGTCCAAGGTTGGAGTTTTGCAAATGCCGGTAGATGGACAGTGGTCCATTCAGCTCATTTTTCGAGGTCAACCATCCCAGAGGTAGGTCACCTGTCACGGGCTCTTCATCCCACCCACAGCTGCCCAAGCTGGGTGGTGGGCGGAATTCGATCCCAGGGGTCTTACGTCAATGCCGCTGGTCAGCCATGTCCAGTGGCCGTATCGAGCGGTGGTGGGATCGAACCTGGGATGATGGGACCACCTGACCTGACACCTTGAGAGCCTTGTTGGACACCGACTGCCATCGGAACCCTTGTGAATCAAAGCTCCATTTCTTCCGACACCTTCTTCGGACCCTTCCATACTAGCCTTCGATCTCCCAGTTCGCCCTGAGTGGCGAAGTTCAGCATTTTCCTGAGAAGCTTTGGGAGGGACTCCAGCCCAGGGTGCTGTGGGATGAACCGATCGAGTTGGCATCACCCTGGGTGAGAGGTGCGACCTCCCAACACACCCCATCCACAGTCATCCACTTGCGAGTTTTCGTGGGACTTCTGATTCCGCATCATGTTTTGGGGGTTGGACCGTTCAAAAAAGGGCCCTTCCGATGGTATACCTACCAGGCCCCATGAGTTGCCATCCCCATCTCAAAGATGTGATTCAGCTGGTCGCCGAAGCACGAAACCCGGAAGTCACAGCTGGACAAGCTGAATTGGTTTTTGGAACACTTGGACATCGGGTTTCAATGACGACCATCTGTGGAGATATGCTGACCAAGCCGTCCTAATCTCTCCCTGTTTTGGGGCAAACTGGGAAGGGTCTGAGCTGGCGTGGGTCGGGTTTTTAGAACCACAACAGGGTGTGTTGTTTCAAAAAGAAAAAGCAATCGCAGTTCTGTCTCTGATGGTCAATGCCATCTGCCCGCGAGCGGACCCTCCCAAGTCTGGGATGGTCTGGGGAAACCAAGCCAAATCCTGCAGGGGTCTGGGGTTTCGAAACCAACCCCGATCGGTTTTGGGTTCGGGCCCAGCAGGTCGGGGGCTGGCCGAACGAACCTCCCGGAGCGGTTTTCGCCGTCGACCCTGCGACAGGGCAGCACCGTTCTGCCGTGGTCCCAAGCAGAAAGACACATAAGGACAATGGGTGACCCACAGAGGTATCCAGTGACCGTAAATAGGACACTACAGGGGTAACGAACTGGGATAGCCTAGTTGAGTCCTTCAACCTCTGTTGGTTGTTCCAGGTTGTTCCATGTTTTCCCCATCCGTGAAATTGAGATCCTTGACATCACAAGTGGCTGGGGACTGGAGTTCCATCCCGAACTGTTTCTGCTTGGGACAGGCTTTCCAGGTATCTCATCTTCTTCTACACACCGACTCCACCGCTGTCCATTCCACCGCTGTCCGTTCCACCGAATGGTCCACGTTCCGTGGGGCTTGACCGACCGGTCCCGTCCGCCTTGGAACCTCGCCTGCGCCGCAGAAAAGTTTTGGTCGTGGCTCAGATCGGTGGATCTCCGGTGCCACAGATGTCGCTTCCACCAGGCGCGGTTCAGAAGCGCCGGCGCGCGGCTTCGAGCCGTGGCGGCGTGGCGGGGGTTCGAGCCGTGCGTTCCCAGGATGGAGGAGGATGGGGGCGTGGTTGTTTGCGGCCAGGTGAAACGAGAAGCGTGGGTGGGGGGGCCAGGGGGTGAGGGGGTGAACAGGATGTGGGAGGTCCATGTCTTTTTCCAGATGAAGGGATTTGGTGCATCAAAGGAACCTGAAGGAGAGGTGTATACACGAGACGCTACATGCCGTTTCGCAGACAAGTTGGACGCTGCCCAGCTGCCTGACTACTTGATGCTTCTTGCGGGTAACAGAGCTATGTGCAGAACGAGACCGGTCTGCTTGATTCAAAAGGGGATCCACCCCATAAGCACAGCATCACCATGCACGACCCAGCAGAAAGACAGTCGCCTGCCATCTTGGCATTTAACCTGGTTCCTTAGACTCAGAGACTCAGAGACGTGCCGAGACATCACCCATTGATCTTCCATAGGACAAGAACTACCAGATCGGACCTGAGTTGTGGGTTGGGCTGAACAAGCGATCCTCACTTGGTGACCTGTTGGAGGGCGCTGGCCGAGGAATCGTGTTCTCCGAGGCACCCTTCTGAACGACAAACATGGTCTTGTTAAGGTCAATTCTCCAGATAATTCACACACAACTTTATGTAATACACAGTATCTGTTCATCAGATTATGTCATACCTATATCTACCGTCTAATATGTTCATGACCAGTAGTACCAGTAGCATACCAGCTTGGTTCTTTTGGAGTTTTGCTGAACTCGCTCAGAGCGACATCCCATCAGGGTGGGCTGAGCATATCGACCCGTCCTCTGGCAATCCGCAGCTTGGCAAAGGGGCAACTGAGCCGTGCTGAGCAGTGATCTGAGGTAGTGGCTGTTGTGAAGGTCGAATCTGGAACTGTTTGAAGGCTTAAGAGGGTCAACCGGCGGTCCAAACCCGGAGGCCAAACCTTGGAGGCTTGGCTATGTCAAATCGTCCATTCTGCTCACTTTCTGTGGGAAAAACCATCCGGGTGTCCCGCTTTTGATCAACCGAGCCACTTGCTCGTTGGACTTGGGGCCCGAGTGGCGCCCCGTCCAACCGATCTGGTTGACCGACCGAGTCAAGGAGCGGTCAACTCAAGAAGGGCCCCCCCAGACATGGATAGGGACAACTCCTTAGTCCTGGGGCGTTGAACATCTTCAGCCAGATCCAGAGGAGAATCAGTGCCTAGTGTGCAGATGTTTGAAACACCTGTACTCTGTGCATCCGCACCTCCTTACCTCCGCATGACGCGAAGGCACTGTGATCGCGTCATCGCACCAGCCTTGCATCCCACGAAAGCCTTTCTAGGAGGTCAGTGCCTCAGAACTGCCTGTTCCCCCGGTGTCTTCACTCCGTTCGACGCCGTGACCGTTCGACCGTGCCGTTCGACCGACGTTTTCGGAGACGGTTTCCTCGACGTGACGAGCTGACGAACTGCCCAGGTACTACCACAATACGGCCACGAATGAGGCCAGGCCGACTTGCTCCGGTCACGTTTCAGCCGAACTGAGAGCTGGGAGCCGAATTGTTTGGTTCGAGGGCCACTGAGCTCGGGGGCAAAGAGGATGGTGGCAACAAGCCCGGCAGGTCAGCTAGGGAGAAAAGAGAAGACAAGAGAAAAGCACTGAAATTCACTTTGGGATCTGAATATGTTCGAATGCATTGCCATCAATGACGTTCGACGAGGAATCCATCTCAGGAGGCAACAGTATGATGGACCCACTCACTTCTGCAAACCGACGTGGTGTGACGGAGTCATCCCGTGCATCGACTCAAACAGCGGAGAACCGCCCCCTTGAAACGTTCGTGTCTCCGCGCGAAATCGGGATCCAAGGCCTGAGGAACAAGGCCGGCCTTTCCGCCCGTACCGCCCCACGGTCCCACGGTGTTTTTCCACCTTCTACCGATGGGTTCCACCTCTTCCGCGCCCAACTCCCCTCGAAACACCCGGCCATTCGGAGCCACCGGACGGCCGGAGGTCACTTGGACCAGGCCCAGCGATGGCTCCGCGCCCGAGCCGCTCGGCACCAAACACGCCGGACCCGGGCGGGTTGGCGCGCCCCGCAGGGGTCGGATCTTCGAAACAACATCCAGAAAACCGAAGGCAGAAGGCAGATGCATACTTGGAAGATCTATATTTAGAGGTCCTTGGGTCCTTTCGATTGGAGCCTAATTACTCGGATCTACCTGTTTCGACCGCGGTGGCTTTGGGGATCGGTTTTTGTGAGACTTGTAATTAGCACATTGAAAGAAAGCGGGTGGTCAACCTCCTAACTTGGGCGTTCTCTCAACAGCGAACAGACTGGTATATGGAACCATTTTCCCATATATTCCATTGGTCGTGATCATTCCAAAACTAAAAGCTATGACTGACATGTTTCTATCACCTTTTTCTCAACCTTTAGTGGTCGTGGCTCATGGTACAGGTGCCAAAATGGTTCAGACTGGACCCACTGAGTGAACCTCTACCTCTGGTTTTCAGGAAGTCAAATGTCAAAGAAGGGAGGCTCCACAGATTTTCGTCTCCCAACCCTCCCTGCCTAGTGTACGGTATACCCTGTGGCCGTGTTTGCCAAGTTGACCTCAAGCTCCGAGATCCAGTGCGAGCTCGAAGACTGCAGGAAGAAGCTTATGATTGTCTCGCTGACTTGCTGATTTCTTCGGTGTTGAGGAGCGAACGAAGCATCGTCCACCAAATGCATGTGGACAGACCAAAAACACCCTTCGAATTCGGTGGGCTTTTTTTCTTTCTGTGTGGCCCTCCGCTGCGAACAGCCCCGCGCCCAGGCAGCCTCAAGGCCCGGCCACCCGGGGGGGGTCTTCTGCTGCCGCCTTTTGCATATATAGTAAAAGGACATTCACTTGTTTATACACCTCGGATTTTGGGTTGCTACATCCGGGTGGCTAATCCTCCACATCGACGTGGACAATATGGCGGCGAAGGGTCAAGGGTCCAGCGACCCAGATCCCATGGGATCTGTGTGAAGGACGGCTCTTCGGTCTGACTCCTCGCTGCTTCGGGGGGGGGATGTGCCTGGTGCTTCACCGGTGCTTCACGTGATTCGTACTCCGTCACGACGTGTTTTACTCTTTTTTCAGTTAATATACACCCTGGGAGTCAAAGACTATAAAAAGAATGATCTTTAGGGGAACTGAAAGGGAACTTCCTTTACTCCAGCCGGTCAAAATATAGTCTTTGGACTTCTAGGGTATATATATATAGGATTCCAAAAAGGACCGTGCTGCTGCACAGGGCTCCGGCTGCACAGCTGTGTGTT